GGGGGATAGAATCTTGTAGAAATATTTCTATAATTTCTTCTTTGATTGCTATTTCCTAATAATATTCTTTTTCTTTTTCGAGAAGTACGTTTTAATATAAACGGTTTTATAAACTATGCTAAACTAATAAACGGGTCAACGTATTATGGTGATAATAAGAACGGCCATAAAAAAATAGCGGTCACATTTAAGTAAATCATGGAATTCCCAAAATATTATCTTCTCACCATTTCATATATTGCTTCGACCTGTATGCCGCGCGGAAATTTATTCGATCCCTCGAAACGAGCATCGAGTGCATCACCGGGGTGTAAGGTACGATTCTCGAGTAGCTGGTCGTGCAATTTATGCAGTGCTATTTATCCGCGTTATTTTTAGTGCAATAACCCGTCGCATCTTACGCACACATTTTACACATGCGTGCGAATTCAATGATGGACGTTATAATGCAAAAGTGTCGAGCAGCTGGCGAGAGATCTGGAACGAAGATCGTGAGGAATTCATGTGTGGCATATGGCAAAGGGAGCGGATTTAATTTGACATCCGTCTGTGGTCAGTGTTGCAAATTTATCGTCATGGACGGTTCATTAAAAATTCTTTTAATAATGCTTTTTATTTTGCATGTACGATATAACATATTTTGTACATTGCACGATATAGATATAAAGTTATCATTTTTGTGGACGTATCTATATCAATCGGAAAAAAATTCTAATATTTTGCAGTTTAATCCGTTGATTTAAAATGAGCAATATAATTAAATAAATACTTGCACTTTCGTCAACATTTTTTTCCTTTAGAAAATAAAAGAGAGAAAAAGAGAAAGCGAAAGATTAATACCATAAAGTGAATTTAAAGCAAAGAAAGACGAGGAAACTTTAATACCATCCAATGTCGGGAAAATTAAATAGTACATAACGGGAGTATCGTGAATACTTAAGTTGGATATTAACTTTCTTGGACGCATTAAATCACTACGAATTTTATTTATTGCTAAGTCTATCGGTGCAATCTAAGTCTATCTTTTTTGTTTTACCTTCATGTAAATATTTTCAAATTTATGCGTGATTAAAATTAAAGCGATTACTTTGGATGCATAAAATGCTTTATTCGATGGTTTCTGACAGGTAAAAAGTTGTTGCAAGCTTACGTGAAGCGGATAACGGTCGCCGTAAATGAGAGTTAACAACGTTTGGAAAGAGAAAAGTACGAGACTTTAAAGGGTCTATTTAGGATCATGAGGGCGCCGGCCAAGCGACGTTATTCAGTCTGCTGTAAGTGGGACACAGTCTCCCAGATCTCGACTAGTCGTATCACAGTGCGTTATTCAATCTGCTCGGTGCATTCTATCGGCCAATCTCCCGCCAATGGAATCTATCGAGCGTGAATTCGCGTCGCGGCGTGAATGAAAGTCGTGTTCGATATGACGTGACAACTATAGGTGCGTTTCGTGATCGCGCATTCTAGCTACATTATTATATAAAAATTTCGAATATCCTTAACAGAGATATATTTATTGACGAACGTAAAGTCATACTTCCTTCGTAT